CCCTAGACTGAATAGGGGCAGTGCCTTGTGATAGACAATCAGCTCAGGGTGGCACTACTAGTCCAACCTCTGAGAAAAGGGTCTGAAGACCAGTCAAACGAGTACAAACAAGGCAAGAGCAAAACCAGGCCGGCATTACTAGTCCGGCCACTGGGAAGAGGCAACAAGGCCAGTCACGGAATATATACAAAGGTCTGTACACAATCAAGGTCCTAGCAAATGAGAGGCTACAGGAACGAGACCAAGCTGTACACAGTGTCGCTGATGATCTTTAGGCGCAAGTGCCTTCATCAAGATATCAGCTGTGTTGGCACCGGAGGCCAAGTGTACTACGCGGGCCTGGCGACGCTGCTGTAGCTCGCGCAGGAGGAAGTACCGCAGTTGGATGTGCTTCGCTCTGCCCTCGAGTCTGGGCTCCTGACACTGGAGGATCATGGCCCTGTTATCAGCGTACAGGACTGGGGCAGAGCTAGGCCGCTCACCTAATTTTGTGAGCAAGAAAGTCAGCCAGCGGAGCTCCTGTGCCGCCATAGCACCAGCGTAGATCTCAGCCTGACAGCTAGATTGGGCAACAGACAACGAGCGGGTGGACCGCCATGAGACAGCACCTGCACCGAGGCTAAAGCAGTAGCCCCGGGAGGACCTGAGAGTCTCGACGTCGTCGGCCCAAGAAGCGTCTGTGTGCCCGGTAAGGACCACTGGTTTGTGTCCCCGTAGCACTAGCCCGAAGCACGATGTACTTGCTAGATAACGCAAAACCCTCTTAGCTGCCGACCAGTGCTGTGGTCGGTGTTTGCCGGTGGCCACAAAGCGGGCGAGGATGCTGAGAGGGTATGCGAGATCTGGATGATTGCAAGTCATCAGGTACATGAGGCAACCTACCAGCTTTGCGTAGGGGCCACTGGGCTCTACAGCCTCCTCCGGGACTGGAGCAGAGAGTCTGTGGTCTACTGGTAGAGGGGTGGGGTGAAGGCCGAACCTCTGAAGGACCTGGCGCACTAAGTGTGACTATAAGAGAGTTATAGTGTGCGCTACTCTGTCCCTGGAGATCAGCAAGCCAATGTACCGGCGCTGCTCTTTTAGGTCAGTGCAGGTGTGTCTCCTCAGCAGCTTGGCCTTTACGGAGGCCAGCGAGTCTCTGTCTACAGTAGCAAAGACCAGGTCGTCTACATAGACGAGGATGTAGAACGGAGTCTGACCGGAACAGACAAAGAGCAAGGGGTATGCAGACGACGGGAAGAACTGCAGGTCAGCAAGTGTAGCACTCAGCGTGTCGTGCCACTCACGGGGCGCCGGAGGAGCCACTCGGTGCCAGGGGAAAGGTACCGGAGAAGCCCTTGGGGCGGCGCATGTAGACCTGCTCGTGTAGACTGCCCTGTAGGAAAGCTGTAGAGAAGTCGAGGGAGTGCAGCTCGTAGTCACGCTGTGCTGCTACGTGTAGCAGTGCCCAAAGAGTAGTCATCTTCGGGGTCGGGGCAAAGGTCTGAAAGAAGTCCACCCCCTCACGTTGACTGAAGCCTCGAGCAACATAGCGCACCTTGAAGACAGGCGGCTCTCCAGGAAGGCGGTTCACCTTGAAGAGCCATCGGCCATTGACTACGTTCACCCCAGGTGGGGGAATTGTGTCGACGAAGGTATCGGTGGATCTCCAAGATGTCATCTCCTGCTCAATGGCAGCTATCCATTGAGAGGCCCAGGGTCCCAAGGTGGCCTTAACGTAGGTGCGAGACATCGAGATGTCAAGAGCATCAGGGTCACCCTCAGGGACTACTAGCATGGAACAGAGATGCGGAGCGGCCTCAGACAGGAAAGCGAGCTCGTATTGCCTGTCCTCTAGGACGTCACTGCCAAGGGCAGCCACACCCCCGACGATCGGAGGGCAGGCAGGGTCAGAGACCAGAGCGGTGACGTAGTCAAGGTGGCGGGTAGCGCCGAGTTCAGTGACCGCAGTGATAAGAGTCGACAGACTCGAGATTGGAATGCATGGGTCGGTAACGAGGGAGGCAAGGACACGAGGAACAAGGGGACGCGCAGCACAAAGGAAGTCAGAGAACGGAGGCGGGGCCACAGCAAGCGACGAGGGGGGAGGAGACGGGAGGAGCGGAGGAGCATGAGACGTGTGGGAGCGAAGCAACAAAGGGTGAGAACGCGGAACAGGGGAGGTGAGACGAGCACGAGACGGACGACGAGACCAGATGTGAGACGGAGGTGTCGAGCTAGGAGAGAGGGGGGGAGCCACAGGAGGAGAACAGGGAGGGAAACGAGCCAGAGAGGAGTCCGGAGGAGGAAACACTGCGCCAGAGACACGTGGAGGAGGAGGTGGCGGCGATGGAGGAGGCACCGGCAGGAGGTCAGGGGAAGGAAGACCGAGGAGGCGAAGAGCGGACACCAGCGGCGACTGTTGCGGCTGCTGCACGACTCCAACACCAGTACCTCCCGCGACAGCACGGCTCCCTCCAAGAAGCTCCATGCCAGCACCCCCCAGAATGCACGAACCCCAGCGGCGGTGACGACAGCAGCAACGGCCGCGACGGCGACGGCAACGGCGGAGGCGGCTGCGGCGGTGACAGCAATGGCGGCGACAGGGAAGGAGAGACTGGGGCGGGGAGGGGCGGGGGGAGTGACTCCGCAGAGCCACGAGAGTCTGCAGTCTCCTCGGCAGGGACAGCCGACGGGAGGAGGTTGACGTGAGACACACCAAACGGGGCAGGGAGGGGAGGGGGGGGGGCGGGGGCGACCGAAGGAGGGGGAACCAGGAACAAGGGGGGGGGTAACTTGGGGACCACGGTTGACTCGTCAAAGGTGACGTTGCGGGAGTGAAAGAAGCGGTGAGACGGCGGGTGGTAGAAGTGCCAATCGGACGAGTCGAGGGGGAAACCTAGGAAGACACAGGGGACGGTGCGGGCAGTGAGCTTGTCCGTGCCAGAGGCACGAACGTGAGCAAGGCAGCCCCACACGTGGAACGCAGACGCGTCACCAGGGGACCCGGTCCAGAGGAGGGTCGGCGAAACCTGTGGCCGCTGAGGGTGCGGCCACAGGTTAAGCTGGTGAGCGGCGTAGCGAACGGCGAACGGCCACAGAAAAGGGGGTGCACCGGCATGGATCATGGAGGTACGAGCCACCTCCATGACCAAACCGATGCGTCGCTCAGCGACTCCATTGTGCTGCAGGGAGTCCGGTAGGGTGAACGTCTGGGTGTTGCCCTCCGCACGACAGAAAAGACCAAGGCAACCAGAGGCGAACTCGCCACCGCGGTCAGAGTGAGGACGCAACACAGGGAGACCTCGGTGCACACGCGCAGAGACAAGCCACGAGATAAGAACGTCAGGCACGTCGGCCTTCCGCTCCAGGGGAAAAGCGGTGGTGTAGCGCGTGTAGTCGTTGACAAGCACTAGGAAGTAGCGCTCGCGACGCAGCCCATAGACGGGGGCGGGGCCCCCTGACGTCCATGTGCAGGGTCTGCAGCAGTGCGGCAGTGGGGGGGAACGAGGAGGAGTGAGGGGCACGGCGGAGCCGGCCCTCGAAGTAGGGCGTGCACGGCGGCACTGGTGAGGAGGGGAGCGCATGGAACGACGCAGGGAGACCTAAGACAAGACCGTGCTGGGTCATGTGACGGAGACGGGTGAGAGCGGGGTGGCCTGGATGGTGGTGCCACAGAAGCGACGAGTGAATAAGCGACCGACACGCGGGGTGGAGACTAAGGAAGTGATTGCGGGTAGTCGCAAGGCGGGTGGCAAGCAGGTGGAGGGCAGGGTAGATGGGGGGCTGAAAAACACGAAGTTGGGCTTCAGTGCAGGCAGCGCGTGGCAGGTCGTGTCTAGCGTGCGCAGGTGGGCGGCCAGGTCAGCAACAGTGGAGAAAGACGCGAGATCAGGAAAGATCATGGGCAGGATCAGGCGACCGATGGAAGCAAAGGGCGGGGTGGAATAGCGCTCGACAACAGCCTGTAGGAACTCCTACGCAGTCATGGCCGACCTAAAGCGAGGGTGCTCAGACAGGGGGAGGGCATAACTAATCGCGAGTTGTGCGACGGCGTTACGCGACAACCAGACAGCACGGGCAAGGATAGCAACGGCAGCGGACTCACGGTCAGCAAACGTGGGGTCAGTGGGTAGAGCAGCAGGGGGGTCACAGCAGGGGAGCGTACCGTCGATGTGAACGGCCAGGGAGTGGCCGTCCTGCTGCTGACCAGAGAGGTGACGGCGGAGGTCGATGAGCCACGTGATGAACTCGACCGGCTGACCCTCTGCGTCAAAGCGCAGCACCGAGTCCGTCATCATGGTCGCTACAGCAGTAGACAGGCGGTAGTGGGCTGGACTGAGCGACAGAGTTCGACAGAAAGCAGTGGTGTGTGGTGGGATGCGGTGCAGTGCGGTAGACTGCAGTAGAGTGCGGTGCATGATGGTAGAGGACGATGCAGTGTGGTGCAGGGCGGTGCTATGCGGTGCAGCGCGATGCAATGCGGTGCAGTGCGGTGGAAAGGGCCGATGGAGCGAGGTGGGAGCCGTGGGGGCAGGTGAGGGACGGGGCCGCGAGGAGGCTGGGCGGCGAGGCCGCGGGACGGCTGGTCAACAGGGGCCACGTGACGGCTAGGAGACTGGGGGCCGCGTGGCGGCGAAGCGATGGGGGCCGGCTACGCGACGGGGCCGACTAGGCTACGAGGCCGACTGGGCGACGGGGCCGGCTAGGAGGCGGGGCTGGCTGGACTACGGGGCCGGCTAGGCGACGGGGCCGGCTGGGCGACGGGGCCGACTGGGCGACGGGGCGGGCTAGGAGGCGGAGCCGGCTGGGCTACGGGGCCTGCTAGGGGACGGGGCCGGCTGGGCAACGGGGCCGGCTGGGCAACGGGGCCGGCTAGACGACGGGGCCGGCTAGGCGACGGGGGCTACTAGGGGATGGGCCAGCACGGGCGGGAGGGCAACGGGGCGGCTAGGACCTAACCTATGGCGGAAGCGCTAGTGGGCGGGGGGGACCTAACCTACTCATGATACCATGTCAAAGTTAGCGAATGAATAGAACCATGGCATACAAGGGAAAATAACCTAGTGGGTTGTACTCTCTAAGGCACAACCCTGTGTAGCCTAAAACAACATGCAAAGATATGTTTGACAGCACCCAGATGGATAACGGGCGTGCTGCTGAGACAAGGCTGATACCTGGCCGAAACTACTCTACCATCTTCATAGGGCGGCCCAAATGCAGTCCCGTCCCATGGAATACAGCAGACTTCAATTCAACCCCATGCCTGCAGATTCACATGCTGGATGATTTCTTTCGACGGAGGAGAAAAGGGCCTTCAATGGGGTGATGGGCATGGCAGAAGTGCTCATGTGAAGGTGAATCAACTCAACCCCAGGCCGGGAGGACCACTGGGGTTGCCAATCTGGCCTTACATGGCCTTACCTAGCCCTGACCCACAGCACATCGCAGGAGGAGCACTCGCCCTGCACTGAACAGGGCATTGGATTCACAGCAGCAAACGAGTGCGTCCGCCCGGCCTGTGCTTGCTGGCAGCTACCGTGCCTACGTGCGCGACCCCTTGGACTTTAGCGGAAGTCGCCTCATGGAGGGGGAAGAGCTGAGCAGCAGGGCGGGCACGGATGACGGCATACTCACCATCTCCCCCTCCCCCCCGCCCCCCTCCACATTATCCCCTCTTGCCCCTCCACCTCCGGCCCCGCTCACGCCCATACGCTTCCCCACAGGCGCAGCAGGGAGGGGGGACGGGGAGAGCAGGGCAAGGGGCTGCATGTGCGGGGCGGCGGAGAGCTGGGGGAATTCCTCGCCCTTATTCAGCGACGGGGGCACGGTGGGGGAGGCCCCCGGGGGTGCTGCGAGGATGAACCCATTCACCACAGCTTCCTCCTCCTCCTCCTCGTAATCACTCCCCGCATTGTCACGTGGGGAATAGTCGCCCTGCCGAGTATTCGTCAGCTGGCTGCTTCTGCTGCCGCTGCCACTGGTGGTGCCGCTGCTGGTGCTGCCGATGGGGTTGTCAGCGGCAGGGGTGAGGCAGGAGGGCAGGCGAAAGGAGGGGGTGATGCGAGCGCGCGAGCGGGCGATGGCGCGGCGGCGCTTGCTGAGCTTCCAGTTGGGCATGTCCGGCGCAGGCTGGGGGAGGGGCGTGCTGTCGTTCACGTGCCGCTGCACCCACGGGTGCTCTGTGTGGTGGGGTGGGTTGGGGGGGGAAGGGGATAAGGGGGAGAAGGCACGGATGGGGGATGGAGGGAGAGAGGGAGGGCGGAATGAGAGATGCTATGGATCTCATTGGATTTTGAAGTTGGTCTCCCTCTGACCATTCTCACAAGTAGCATTGACCTCCAAACGAACCTTCCATTGGACCTCCCCTATGCTGCACTCTCCCACAACCCCACCCCCACTCTCCCACAACCCCGCCCCCACTCTCCCACAAACCCACCAGCACTCTCCCACAACCCCACCCCCACTCTCCCACAACCCCGCCCCCACTCTCCCACAACCCCACCAGCACTCTCCCACAACCCCACCCCCACTCTCCCACAACCCCACCCCCACTCTCCCACAACCCCACCCGCACTCTCCCACAACCCCACCCCCACTCTCCCACAACCCCGCCCCCACTCTCCCACAACCCCACCAGCACTCTCCCACAACCCCACCCCCACTCTCCCACAACCCCACCCCCACTCTCCCACAACCCCACCCGCACTCTCCCACAACCCCACCCCCACTCTCCCACAACCCCACCCCCACTCTCCCACAACCCCACCCCCACTCTCCCACAACCCCATCCCCACTCTCCCACAAACCCCACCCCCACTATCCACAACCCCACCCCACTCTCCACACCCCACCCCACACCCCACCCCCACTCTCCCACAACCCCACCCCCACACCCCACCCCCACTCTCCCACAACCCCACCCCCACTCACCCAGCACCCCTTGGACAGTGATTCTCTCCTGCACGTCCACGCACAGCATTCTCTGCACCAGCTCCGCTGCCTCCTTGCTCACATGCACCCACGCGCCCGACTGCGTGTCCACCACGCCGCGCAGGATCGCCTGGTAGACCCCAATGTCCGTGCTGTGCCAGAAGGGCAGGCGCTGCGACAGCAGCGTGTACAGGATCACCCCCAGGCTCCACACGTCCACCTCCAGTCCGTACCGCCCCTCCAGCACTTCCGGGGCGATGTAGAACGGGCTGCCCGCATAGCCCCGCATGCGCTGGCCTGATGGGGGGCCCGGGGGGAAGGGGGGGGGAGAGGATGAGTCGTCAGGAGGTGGGTGTGATGCGGGAAGGAGGTGATCAACAGCCACTGTCATGGGGCAGGTGCGCTGTTGGAATGCTTCACGGGACAAGATGAGTAAAACCCAAAGTCACTTGGTTGGAATGCTTCCCAACTACATCACGCCCTGGGCTCGGCTAGCCCCACCCTGCCCCCAGCCATGGGGCCGCCTCAAGTAAACCCCCTCTGGGCAACCGCCTCTCAAAAACCCCTTCAGAGCAATCCTATTCTCGTCCTCTCCCCTCCCTCTCTCTGCCTCTACACCCCCACCCCTCCCCCCCCCCTCCCCCACCCCTCCCCCCCCTCCCCCCCCCTCCTTCTCCCCCCCCCAAGCCCACCGCTCTTACCCGGCTGCACGAAGGTGGAGATGCCAAAGTCAGCCACCCTGAGGTCCCCCAGCGGCCCGTTCTTGGTGGCCAGCAGCACGTTTTCGGGCTTGAGGTCGCGGTGGCACACGCCCTCCCTGTGGCACAGCGCCACCGCACTCGCGATGCTGTGCGTCACGCACGCCGCCTGGCGCTCGGAGATGTGTGGCGCACTGTTGATGTGCGTCAGCAGGTCGCCACCCGCACACATCTCCATCACCAGATGCACGTCCTGCTCAGGCGGGGAGGAGGAGAAGAAGGGAGAAAAGAGGAGAGAAGAAGGAAGGAGGGGGGAGGGAGAGGGGAGGTAGGGGTTTAGGGATGGGGGGGGGCAGAGATGGGGGTTGTGACAGGGTGAGGAGGAAGAAGAGTGGGAGGGTGGAGGAATGTGAGGAGGATGGAGAAGAAACATGGGTGGTGGGTGAGAATGGCTACAGCGAGATTCCAGGCGCGTTGAGCGGGAGAAAACAGAAGCAGGTCACAGCCATGACCACAGCACAGCTTAACACGCTCTTCCTCTCTTCCCCCGTCTCGCCCCCAAACCCCACCCCCCAACCCACCCCCACTCCCGCACTGTCCACTGGATGAGGCCACCACCTTCCTCCCCTCTCCCTCTCTCACACCCGGCGCCCACCTGGGCGTCCTCCAGCGCCTCATGCAGGGACACGATGTGGGGGTGCCCCTTGACGCGCGCCATCACCTGCACCTCCACCAGCAGCGCCTCCACCTTCTTCGCGTCCCCCAGTGTGCTCTTCGCGATCGACTTGCACGCGAACCGCTGCCGGGTGCGCCGCTCCACGCAAGCGCGCACCACCACGCCGCAGCGGCCCTCACCAATGCGCTCGCCCACCTCGTACCGCCGCTTCAGGTCCGTCAGCCCGTGGCCAAGGAGCCCCCGCTCCTCCTCGCCCCCCCGCAGCATGTTGCCCCAGCTGCGCCCCCTGCGGTGCCCGCCCCTGCCACTGCTGCTGCCGGTGCTGCTGCTGTTGTTGATCGTGCCAGCCGTGCTGCCAGTGGTGGTGGTGGTGGTGCCGGGCGCTTTTGATCCCGGGTCAGCCTTACTCTGCTGCTGCCCGGACTGCTGCTGCTGCGTCGGTTCCTGCAGTGCTTGCTGCGACTGGTGCTGTGTGCTACTGTGTCCGTTGGCGCTGCTGTCTTGCTGCACTGCCTCCACAGCAGCCCCTGATATGCCCTGACTGCCTGTGCTGGATCCCGATGCCCCTGTACCACCCACACCTCCTGTCCCTCCCCCCCTCTCCCCATTTATCACTTCGCCACTCACAGCACCTGCCAAGCCGCCTTCCCCGACAACAGCCACAGCACCTGCCCCAATCTCTGGTGACTCACGCTCGCCCACTGCACCCTTGGCGCCCCCCACCCCACTCTCGCTGCCAGTCCCGCTGCTGCCCTTGCTCCTGCTATCCTGCCCTCTCCCCATCTCTCCTGAACCACCATGTTCTCTCGACGCACTAGCAGAGGCAGACGCAGGTGCAGGAGCAGGAGTTGTGGCAGTGGTGAGTGGGGGAGGAGCGGAGGGCTGACGGCCGTCCCACCACGTGGAGTCAATGCTGTTGTGGGAAAAGCGGCGAGAAAACCTGCCCCGAGCCGAAAACACACGAAGCAAACCCCCCGACTTGCTGCTGCTGCTGCTGCTGCTGCTACTGCAACCAACGGCTCCTGATGCTCCCTTCTTCTCTCCCTCCTCCTTGTCCTCCTTGGATTCCCCCCTCTCCCCTTCCCCATCCTGCACACTCTGCCCACTCGTCTCCCCCCGCGCCCCCTCCCCTCTCCCCTGCGCAGCCTCCTCCCCCCCCGGGGGCACCCAGAGTCGTCGGAGGTCCAGGCTCCGGGCGGATTTGCGCGCCCTGTCACTGAGAGACAGCGGGCGGGACGCGGATGCCGATGTGGATCCACCTGCTGCCTGCAACCCGATACCAGCGGCCGCACTGCTGCTGCTGCTCTTGCTGCTACTGCTGCCATTGCTGGGATGGTTCTTACCGGTGGCGCTGCTGCTGGTGGTGGCAGCAGCAGCGCTGCTTGCAGCGGCGTTAGAGGAAGAGGAAGAGGAAGAGGAGAACCACCAGGAGTGGGAGTGGCCCCTGTGTCCCCCACCCCTGCCACCAGCCTCCCTTGACTCCTCGCCTGCCCTCATCCCTTGTGTCGCCTCGTGCGTCACCTGGTCCTCGTCAATCCTCTCACTCCCACTGGAGCTGCGATTGCTCTCCGCAGGGCCTGCGATTGCTCTCCCACCATCAACCACCCTGCCACCCCCACCAACACCATTGCCATCACTGCCAGCACTAGCCCTCCCAACCTCACTCTTCCCTCCCTTCGCTTGCTTCTCATTAACCCTTTCCCCTCTCTCCTCCCCTGCTACTCCCCCATTACCTAATCCCATTGTGCCGTCGCTTCCCCCTGTCCTCCCCCCCTTCCCCCCCCTCTCCCCCACTGCTTCTTCCGACCCTGCATCGCTCTCACTCCACCTCCCCCGACTCCCATTCCCCGCCCCCGAGCTCACTCGTCCAGGCACCCACCCTCTACCGCTTCCCCCTACCCCCCCGACTGCTGCTTCCCCCCCGCCTGCAACCCCCCCTGCGCCTGCGCCCCCCGCTTCGAACCTCTCTAGGAAATTCGTCCGCGCGCCAGCAGACGCGGGCCGCCGCCCAAACGAGAAGTCCCTGTTCAAAAAGGCCTGTGCGCCGCAACTCGCGGCGGTCGCGGCGGGGCTTCCGCCAGATCCGCCAGATGCCGCTCCGCCGCTGGCCGAAAGTCCCGGCGGAGAGCGGAGAGGGGCGGAGAGAGCGGAAGTCGCGGAGGCGGGGGAAGGAACGGGGGAGGGCGTGCGGCGGAAGGAGAGCTCGATGCCCGTGGCGGAGAGGGCGGGGGAGGGGAAGGACCCGCTCGAGAGGAAACGGGGGCGTAAGTGCGCGCCTGTGGCAACGGGGGAAACCAACCCCACGGGGGAGAGCGTAGGCGGGGTCGCGCGCAAATACGTGGCGGAGATGGGCAGCACGGAAGCCTCCGAGGGCCCGCGCTTGTGGCGATTACGGGGAGGCGGCGGGGAGTGGCGGTCATGCTTGGCGGAGATGGGGGAAAGCGGGGAAGGGGATGGTTGCGAGCTGTGGAAGGGGCTCAAATAAGAGTGCGAGTGCGATCTATTGTGCCGCGGAAACCTATCAGCTTCCGCATCAGAAGCGCCCACCAACGTCCCTGCGCCGCCTGCATTGCTGCCCCCTCCGCCCCCCCCGGTTCCGCCGCGCCCGCCCGACCTGCGCCTGCCGCTGAAAAGTCCCCCAGAGCCTTTGTCAAAGATCGCCTCCCCTTCCGCGCGATCCCAGAATTGATACGACGGCGACCGCCCAGTTCTGAGCGCCGCGGCGTCCGCTGCCACACTACCGCCGCCCCCCCCGCTGGCGCTCACGGGGGCGGCGGCGGCGGAGGTGATAGCATCGGCGGGGAGGCGCGGAGTGAGGTCGGGTTGCGCCATGAGCAGGCGCTGCATGGCGCCCTGCAATCGCGGCGACGCCACCTGGAACTTGGGCGACCCCGCCACGTGCTGCATTTGCGGCGATACCACCGCGTGCGACAACGATCGCGGGCTTCCGCCGCAGCTTCCGCCCGCCGACGTTCCGCCCAGGCCCTCCCGCGCCACCAAAGCCGCCACTGCCGCAGCGGTGAACGGCGTTCCCCTGCCGCCGCTGCTGCCCCCGCTGTTGATACCCATACGCCCGTCGTGACTGCTGCTGAGGACCCTCCCCTCCCGTGCGTCATTCAACACGGCGGCGGGGGAATACGACACTGGGGAGGCCGGAACGTACGAGGAGGCGGAGAGTGTAAGCGGAAGGTTTAGCGGCGGAGGCAGGCGCTCGCGGGCGCGCGACAGCGCAAGGGAGCCCCGCTCAAGCGCAGATGCCAGCGCCGCAGCCGCGGCAGCAGGGGCGGGCGGAGCAGACGCGGAGGCGGGAAACGGTGTAGTGTAGGTGGTGGCGCGGCGCAAAAACGGCGACGCTTCGTGCGGCGGGCTGGAAACGACCCCCCGCGGTCGCTGCTGCTGCTGCTGCTGTTGCTGCTGTTGTCGCGGGAAGAGTAGGTCGAAGTTGGGCTGCGACACTGTGCGGCGGTGGTAACGCGACGACAGATACTCCTGCACGTGCACCCCCCGAACCTCCCCCTCACGCGCCCCCTCCTGTCCATGCTCTGCGCCTTGTCCTCCCCCATGGCCCTGCCCCCCACCGCGGCTTGGCCCGACCGCGGGACCTTGCCTATGAACTACCCCGTCCCGGCGACCATGCCCATACCCGTCGCGTTGCATCGGCTGCGGTGCGCTGACGTATCAAAACCTCGCGGGAGCACCCACGTTCCAGCTCCGCTTCCCGTTCCCCGAAACCCCGTTGCTCGCACGTTTGTGCTGGACTCTTGACGCCAAGGGCGTCGATGAGATTTATTGCCGCTCGCGCTGCTGATCTTGTCGGTTGTTCGTTACGGTGGACGGCTGGGATTCCCGGGGCCTTACGTTGCCAATGACTTTATTTGGCCCGCGATTGACGCGTTGTTGCTGAAGGAGACTGTCAGCGGGCTGTGAGCGTCCATGATCTACACTCCGATTGAGATTTAAAAAGCCATGGCTGCAATAGACGAGAGTTAGGAGTAGCATTTAGAGAAGCGGGAAGCTAGTGGCAGAAGAGCCTGACGCAAATTATGAGCGGGGAAGCGATGAGTGACGCTGCCGCGGCGGATCTAAAAACTCGCTGAACTTCGGCCCAACACACTGCGTAATAAAATGCGGCTAGAAAGCAGACTATGTGAGCTAGACGGCTCAGGGCGCGGTACATTTCGGACCAAGGCGAGTTCAAGTTCTGAACGTTTTCGGTGTAGATGTGGTAACCAGACATATAACTAATTTACACCGCCATAATGTACCGCGTCGATCAAGACGCCTCGAAATGTAACTCCCGCCAAAACGAACGCACGAACCGAAAACACGACCAGCACGTTCGAAAGACTCCCAAAAGTACCGAGTCGCCGACATACGCTCCTCACGAAGTTTTGCGCACGTCGTCTCCTCTCGCAATTTTCTCGACACCACCAGCCCTAACATCGAAATGTGGCATGCGCGATGTGTTGCACAGTTTTGCAATTTCGTCAATTTCGTCTTGTCGTGAGTTCGCCGCGTCGCGCATTCTGCATGTTGAACGTCAAAGGGCAACCGCGCTATGGTACAAGTTCCGTGTCGCCTTGAATCCCTGTATTTTGAACCTCGTTTTTCGAGCATAGGTCAAGGCGGGACGAACGGGGTTTGCGTTCGAAATTGCCAAAAATCATTTCGGTCCGAAATATACCACGCCCTAAGACTGACCGCCTGGTGGTTGAGATTGGAGGAGCAAGGGTCGGCTTGGCAGCATTATCCAGAGACGAACGTATAACCCATGCAAAGCCAGCTAGACGGCTGGGAACATCAGCTGCCTATCCCCTACATCCAGAATCTCTACCAGGTTGTCGCTGAACCCAGTGACAATCTTCGTGACATGGTCAGAGCTTCCTTCGCGGGGATTCACACCTGGTCCGTGCGTACTCGTTTCGCCTGCGTGGGTCTCCGGCATGTGCTCATCGAATACTAGAGTCGCTGGTTACCGAAATGTCTCGTCGAACCAGAAAGGACTGTACTCCTGGTACAGGGTAACGCACGCAAAACCATGCGCAGTGCTGTGCCGTCCATCACAGTTGGTTTGGGATGGGAGATGCAAAACCGCAAATGTGTCCTTAGGTTGGTTCTCATTCAATGTTGAATGGGGCAGCATGAATGTTGTGTCCATTGTTCTGCTTTTTGCCTGCCAGGCTGGCGTGGGGGGGAGGGAAAGGCTCCACAACCTAGTGGACCAGTTTGGCACTTTGTGGCTGTCTTGTTTTACCGACCAGGCTAAGACTTTCATTGTGATTATCCTTCATTCTATTCTCAATCAGTTTACTTCAAATTAGCCACATTCATGTCCTCCATTTTACGAACTCGGATTTATTGGGAAAAAACATGTGATATTTTCTATATTTATTCCGCCATATATGACAAGTTTTGGACAGAATAACGCATAATAAGACAAGGGTGACGTGCTTGATATATTTTACCTGGGAAACACATTTTTATAATTCAATTTAATACAATCACTGGAAGCGTAATATGCTCTATAAAGCTTCATAATTGTGCCATTCCATTAAGAGCCTGAAGACGATTCCGACTTATATAGTTCTATGATGAAGGTCTGTAACGGAATTCTCCAAATTAAGCGCGTGTCGTCAGAACCTTGCAGGTCTGACACACTTTCAAAAAAAGTGCCGCGCCTTTTGCCTGCTCCGTGACCAACCACCACGCAGACAGTTACCAGTGCCGCGTACCAAGTTTTGATCAGGCAGGACTCCAACCATCACACAATCACTGGTGGTATTTCTTTCTTTTGGTTTTGTTGTGCTGTGCATGAGCTACAGAATCGATTTCCTGCTCGACTGGAACGATGAGTTTCTCTCAGCCGCTAGGACCAACCCGTAGGACATCTGGAAAGCCCGGTGGAATACGACAGGCTTCATCTAGCACGACTTACGGATCTACCGCTGACCGCTTCAAGAATGCTGACCCTCAGGACAAGGAGAACAAGACGGCGTTAGAACAGCAAAAGAAGCGAAAGCTCGAACTTTCTAGCAGGATACCTGTAGCTCCAGTAAGGACCTCCAGCACAGCTCCAGCACCGTCACGACAGCCCTTGGGCTTGGTTGTTCACAACAGCGATGCTGGCGCCAGTCATGCTTCATCAACAAAAGTCCGTAAACACTCAGCTCTATTTACGTTGATCGTTCGTCATGGTTACTTCAATGGTAACAAACGTATTTCATCATTTGCCTATGCAGGAACCTCCAAGCGCGTCGGACCCTTCAACCGTTTCAGAGGATCCATTCAAGGAACAATTTGACAGCGGACTAGATATCCTGTATCGGACCTACCCGAAACTGGGGAACAGGACAGCTGATGTAAGTAATATTCCTTCTGATACGTAATTTTTTTTCTACGAAGACTGCAATCCGTCTGATGTAAGTGATATTCCTATTGTCGTGTCTTGCAGATGCAGAAGAGATGCGATTATCAGAAGGAGTATATTCGTGATCTGAAGGCATGCATCAATGATGCTGGCAAATCGTACGCTTTGAAGCAGATTTCAGGTGAGCATCAAGCTGAAACCTTTGTGTAAAAGTCTTTCGTGGCCATCGATACTAATACATTGGCTGCCGTATGACGCAGACGCTAAGCTCGAAGAAGAGAGTAAACTCAGGCGAACTGCGGAGGAGGATGCGTTGGTAAGAACCTTGCTAGATCCCGTGCTTGATCTATTCCCACCTCAAGCAAGGATTCTCTATTCACGTCGTATTGTTTGTGGGCCATGCAGGTGTGGAAGCAAAAGGCAGAGGAGTTCAATGCTTCGCTTGAGGAGTTGAAAGCTCAACTGGAGGACGCTAAGAAGACGATCTGCCGTTTCTCCGACGAGGGTACTTATTATAGTTAACCAGTCATTCCATTCTTCACCACTGACAATTCGTCTAACTTCGTGCACCTTTGGGTGAATTTCCAGACACACGATCGAAGGCAACTATCCAGAACCTCCAGACGGAGAATGATCAGCTTGTGAAGAGAAGCAGTGAACTTGCAACTGCAAAAGATGCGCTGAGCGAGGTAACGAATTCAGCCTTTCCTTGACAATCAGCTGTTTCCTGAGTACAACTTACACAGGTACCTTCAATCTGTTATTGCAGGACGCTGAACAAAAGGCGAAAGACCTTATTGCTGTTGGCAAGGACCTTGATGAGAAGGTTAAGGAGCTCGGCTTGCTTCATGCTGAGAAGATGGAGCTTGAGCGGAACTTGGACACCTTGAAGGTTTCCCTGCAAAGTGCCAACGTGAGGTTGGAAGAGGTACGTGTGAAGCGTTTTGGTCCGTCTGTGCTATTTGACCTCGTCCTGACCCATGGCTTCGGTACGCTCTGCAGGTAAAAGCAAGGCTTCAGGATTCTGAAAAGCTTCTGCAGGACAAAGGAAAAGAGCTCTTCGACCTGAACGCGGAAGTTGCTACGCTGAAAGAGAGGTCCGCAGCCAGCGAGAGGCTCCATTCAGTAGAGAGGTCCCTACTCCAGGATCAGGTATCTGATGCAGCTCCTGTACTTGAGTTCCGGTTGATCTACTTTCATCTCTAACCTGGAACTGAGTATAATCTCTGTACTGAGCAATCTCCGCAGATTGACATGATGACTAAGGAGAAGGAGGATAAGGACGCTGACATCCTGTTTCATAAGGTCCGTCGCTAGCTTGGTCGGCTTATGTTCCGGCCTCTGAGGCAACCTTACATCTTTCCAGCCTGCCTCACCTCACACTCATCACCACGTGCGTATTTTTCACAGAATCTGGTCAATAAACTGACTGGGGAGGTCGAGGCAAGGAGAGCGGAAGTCGGTGTGAAGGACGACAAGCTCAAGGGTCTGGAGGTATGGATTTACTTCAATGGTGCTGCATAAGATGCGACTGGTTTGTCGTCAACTGAATATGCTGACAAATTTCTCGTCTTGTTCAGGGGCTGTCACAAAGCGAATGCGACCTCAGGACAGAGATCACAAGGCTCAGACGCGAGTTGGCTGAGAGGGAGCAGCTCTTTCGTCAGAAAGATCTCCTGCTGCAAGAGATGGAAAAACGATTAAAACTACTCCACAACCGGCTGATGGTAAGGTCTTGTTGTTCTCTCAGCCTTTTTTCCTTGCATTCGTCACTTAAAAACTCACTCTAGTTTCTGTGTGACTGCAGCTGTTGAAGGGGAACATCAGGGTATTCTGCCGTGTCCGCCCCTTGAGTTCGAAGGAAGAAGAAAGGAGTCATTCTGCGATGGCTGTACGGATTCCTGAGAACAACATTGACAACAAGATCGCAGTTCAAGGTATGGGCCATTTCTTTCTTTGTGTATGCGCCGTTGACGTATTCATTGATGTGTGACATTGGATCCGTTATGTTTATCAGGGCATGAAGGAGATTTCAAGTTTGACAAAGTTTTTCCACCTGCAACAACTCAGACGGCTGTGTTTGAAGATATTTCTGATCTTGTTACAAGCGCATTAGACGGCTATAAGGTAAGTAGACAGTTTGTGGTCAACCTTGCTGTCTGTCAGTCAAAGCTGTTTTAACTGAGTGTTCTTTTCCTTGTTTCCAGGTATGCATCTTCGCGTATGGCCAGACAGGCTCTGGCAAAACTTTCACCATGTTTGGAGACACTATGGAAGAGGCGCTTCGTGGAGTTATCCCCAGATCTATGGATCAGATCTTCAAGGTTGGCCGCGAGAAGTCTACCCTAGGCTGGGAATACACCATTCAGGTGCGGGCTAGCAACTCCTAACCTTTGTGGGCTTGTCTATATTGTGCAACAACTGACCCTTTTCTAATGGTAACTTGCAGGCTTCCCTCCTCGAGATCCACAACGAGTCCATTCGCGACCTGCTCAAAGGATTCCGCAATGAAGAAGAGGCTTCAACCTCAAAGCCCGAGAAGGGGAGTGCGGCAGCCAAGAAGGCGGAACTTTCTCTGTACAACATCATTCACGAAAAAGATGGCAGCACAACAGTTGTTGGCCTCAAAGTCGTCACTGTGCAGTCTGCGGAGGATGCAACTGAGCTTTTTGCTCATGCACACAAGAAGAGGTATGCATTGGTATGCATTTTAACGCTTACTGGCCTGTTGCACTACCTGCTTGGGGGAGGAGTACTCATGTAGTTTTCTTTTACTTGCAGGTCTGTTGGAAGGACGGATATGAACGAGGAGTCGTCCCGCAGTCATGCGGTCTTCACCCTTCGGCTGAACGGCAGGAATCGGGTGTGTCACTGTTGTCTCATTCGATTTTTGCAGAAACAACTGGATATAATGTAGAACTGTCCTCAAGCTTTGACACTTTTTTGCTCTATCAGGACACTGGCGAGACAACACGTGGCATCCTCAACCTGATCGATCTGGCAGGAAGCGAGAGGCTCAAGAAGTCAAATGCGACAGGATCAACCTTGACTGAGTCTATCGTAAGCAGCTCCTTTTCATTGATAAAGTCCTCGTTCCATCCCCCCGCTCCCACTTTTCACTTTATCTGTTACCCACCTCACCCTCCTCATTTGCACACAGACAAGCACACATGGCCAAGCACTGAATAACCTCCTGTGTATGCCACACCCACCTTCAGGCGATCAACAAGAGTCTGAGCTCACTGTCCCACGTTCTTGAGGCAAGGGCGAAGGGGGAACTGCCACGCTACCGTGATGGGAAGCTGACTTACCTGCTTCAGGTATAATTTTGTACATTAGGGGTCCAAAACCATGTCATGTGCAGTATCTAGATCCTGACGCTTTTCATTGACTCTGCAGAAATCAATTGAGAAGGACTCAAGGACCCTGATGTTCCTCAACATTTCACCGGACATCTCATCAGCTGATGAGACTATGGGGTCACTCAAGTTCGGGGCAATGGTCAATTCTTGTGACCTTGGGGTTGCAACCCGAGATATCCGAAGCGCCGAGTCTGAAGCAGAGGATCGCCAGAGGCGTGCAAGCAGCAGCAGCAGCCATCAAGGCAGCAAGAAGAAGGGCTAGCTGGCCTTATCTGAGTGGATCCACTGCAGGCACAGGTTAGCAGCATTATCCCGCTGCTGGACAACATGGTACTTATGGCTGAGCAAGGGGGGGGGGGGGGGGAGTTCTAGGTTCTCATAACATGCTAACCTTAGGATTATAGTACCTTGTCAGTATGATTGACAGTATGATTGACAACAGTAGGATACGAATATAATCAGGGTTTACAAAGCTGATGCCCTTGTCACTACATACTGTATTCCCCCGGATAATGGACCCGCCGGTAAGAAAGTCCATGGGTCCCGCCGGTGGAATCATTTATTTTGGCAGACCTCGTGAGGACCCGCTTTTTGGCATTTAACATTTCAAGACCCCCCTGTCAAACTATACATACTAGCTATGTAGAAGTTATAGGCTAGACTGAGGTATGCTTCTAGTGAGTACAACCAACTAGTATTTGTTCTAGGTTTCAACTTCTAGTCACCTATTCAGTTCTTACTTTAACACGGTATCGCGCGTAGGATAGCATCCCCCACCTACCGCTTCCGCCCGTACCCTAGCTAGGCCCCGCTGTCAACTTATACATATTATCTATGTAGAAGTTATAGGCTAGACTGAGGTATGCTTCTAGTGAGTACAACCAACTAGTATTTGTTCTAGGTTTCCACTTTAGTCATTATTCGTTTCTACGTTAACATGGTATCACGCTTAGGTTAGGATCCCCCCGCCTACCGCTTCCGCCCGTCGCGCCTCCTAGGCCCCGTCGCGCCCCCTAGGCCCCGTCGCGCCCCCCCTGGGCCCCGTCGCGCTCGTTAGGCCCCGTCGCGCCCCCCCTGGGCCCCGTCGTGCCCGCTGGGCCCCGTCGCGCCTCCTAGGCCCCGTCGCGCTCCCCCTGGGCCCCGTCGCGCCCGCTGGGCCCCGTCGCGACCCCTAGGCCCTAACGCGCCCCCGCTGGGCCCCGTCGCGCCTCCTAGGCCCCGTCGCGCCCCCCATGGGCCCCGTCGAGCCCGCTGAGCCCCGTCGTGCCTCCTAGGCACCGTCGCGCCTCCTCAGCCCCGTCGAGCCCGTTCGGCCCCGTCGCGCCCCTCCTAGGCCCTATCGTGCCCGCTGGGCCCCGTCGCGCCTCCTAGGCCCCGTCGCGCCCCCTCTGGGCACCGTCGCACCCGCTGGGCCCTGTTGCGCCTCCTAGGCCCCGTCGCGCCCGCTGGGCCCCTTCGCGCTTCCTAGGCCCCGTCGCGCCTGCTAGGCCCCGTCGCGCCCCCCCTGGGCCCCGTCGCGCCCGTTAGGCCCCGTCGCGGCCCCCCTGGGCCCCGTCGTGCCCGCTGGTCCCCGTCGCGCCTCCTCGGCCCCGTCGCGCCCCCCCTGGGCCCCGTCGTGCCCGCTGGGCCCCGTCGCGCCCCTTAGGCCTCGTCGCGCCCGCTGGCCCCTGTAGCGCCTGCTGTTAGCGCTCGCCCGCCTGGCCTCCTCCTAGTGCCGCTCGGCCTCCTCCTAGTGCCGCCCGGCCCCCTTCCTATCGCCGCCCGGCCTCTCCTCAGCGCTGCCCGGCCCCTCCTCGTGCCCGACCGGCCCCAGCAGCACCAGCCTGGCCCCTCCCAGCACCAGCCCGGCCCCAGAGCACCTGCCCGCCTCCCCTGCTCGGCCTGCCGTGTCCTCTCGGGCCCTGTGTCTTCTGCTCGCCTGCGCTGGGACGCCTAGCTGCTGCCCTACTGGAGAGTGCTGCCGCCGTGTCCCCGCGCCGCTGTGCTCCTGTGCCGCTGAGGAGCTGTGCCGCTGTGCCGCTGTGTCGCTGAGGAGCTGTGCCGCTGACCCTGCACGATGGCTGACTTTGTGCTCCGCCTGGACGCTGAGGGCCACGCGGTTGACTTCGCCGCCTGGCTCTCCGATCTCCGCCGCCAGTTTACAGGTCAGCGCCAGGATGGCCACTCTCTGGTTGTCCATGCTGATGGCTTGCTCCCCCGCCCCCCTGCACCTACTCCCCTCCCTGCTGACCCCTCCTCTGATGACCGTGAGGCTTTCTCTACTGCTGCGCTGGCCTGTGCAGTCTGGGACTCACGCGATGCAGTAGCTCAGGTTGCTATTAGTCACGCCCTCCCTGTGTCTGAGCGCTCGCGTTTTGCTACTGTTGAAACGGCCAAAGCTTATTTAGACGCCGTTATTGCTCGCTATTCCACCCCTGCCTCCGCTTCTGCTGGCCGCTTGCTCTTTCCGATGCTGTTCCCAGACCTGGCTGCCTTCCCTACTGTCGCAGACTTTGCCACTCATTTGCGTGCCCTAGAGACTCGCTATCGCACTGCCAGCACTGCTGCCCAGCTAACTGCTCTCCCCCCTCCTTTCTGCATGACGCTCTATTTTATCGCTATGCGCCTGCCAGACCGCCTCGCTAGTGCTCGCGACCACTTTCTTAGCCAGCACCCGGGTGACCTCACCCTGACCGCCTTTGTCGACACCCTCACTGAGATCGAGACTCGCCAGCGCACTATCGCTCAGTCGAGCGGTGCGCCGGCAGTCTCTATCTTTCACGGCTGTGCCCCATCCCAGTGCACGTTCACTGACGTTTCGGCTGCGGTCGCCACGGCGACCCGTCTTACCGAGACGGCTGCTGCTGTCCACCCGCAGCAGCGCTCGCGTCGCGGTGGCCGTGGCCGCCAGGGAGGTAGGGGTGGTGACGCAGGTGGTGGTGGTCGTGGTGGTGGTGACGGTAGTCCGCCTGAGGGGACTACCACCGGTGGGCAGGAGCAGCAGCCCCAGCAGCAGCAGGACCAGCCCCAGCCGCAGCCGCCGTCCCAGCAGCACCCGCCGCAGCCGTGGGCTCGTCTCCCGCCTGGTTGGCCCGGCACCTCCGGAGGCGGTGGCCGTGGTGGCGGCCCGCGCAGCTTGGCGTCTACCAGCGGCTCTAGTGCTGTGACCTGCCAGTACCAGCTTCAGACAGGGCCTCTCCGCGGCACTCTGTGCCGCCGCCCGCACCCGACCGCCCGCTGTTTCCGCCGCCTCGACGATCTTTTTCGTCGTCGCTTTGGCCCGGCCCCGGACCTCACTGACTGGCACAGCCTGCTCCGCCAGGGCGTGCCGATCTTTGAGTTAGACATGGATCAGATAGGTGCTGCTTTGCATGCTTTGTATGCTGACGCTTCTAGTGTTGCTGGATCTTACTACCCTGTGTACTCTAGTTTAGGTGTTTCACCCTTGTGTAGCTTAGCTTCCCCTGCTGCGTCAGGCGTAGGACTGCCTAGGTTGCCTAGCCTAGCTTCTGCACCCGCCCCGTCCCCGGCCTCTGCCACTGCCTCGCTGTCCTTCACGCTCGACTCCGGTGCTTCTGCCTGTTTCTTCCGTGACCGGTCCACGCTCACGCCGCTTGCTGCACCTGCGGTTGTCTCCCTCGCTGACCCCTCTGCCGGTCCTGTCGTCGCTCGCAGTTCCACTTCCCTTCCCTGTCCAGCCGTTCCCTCTGGCTCTCTTACAGGCTTCCACATTCCCTCGTTCTCCAGGAACCTGGTTGGTGTCGGCCGTCTTCAGGACCTCGGCGTCACCACCACGTTCCCTGGGCACGAGCGGTTCGCTGTCTGTACCGAGGCAGTCTCAGGTTCCCCTCTTGCGACGTTCCCCCGGGACCCGGTGTCTGGTCTGTTTACCCTCGACACCGCTTCCCCCCCGGTTGGTGCGTCCTCCCAGGTCGCTGCAGCTTGCTCGTGTCGGTCCCTCACTCACCCGTCCCTTCTCTGGCACCACCGCTTCGGTCACCCTGCTCTCCCACGTCTGCGTCACATGTCTCAGCACGGTCTTGTCTTAGGCCTCCCCGCGTCGCTCCCTGCCCTCCCACCCTCGACTGCGCCACCGTGCACGCCTTGCGTCGAGGGTCGGCTCCGCCGTGCTCCTCACTCCTCCTCGCTGCGTCCTGCTACTGCCCCCCTTCAGACCCTGCACCTGGACGTTTGGGGCCCTGCCCCCGTCCCCGGACCGCGCGGTGAGCGCTACTTCCTTGTGCTCGTCGACGACTACACGCGCTACACCACGGTGTTTCCCCTGGAGCGGAAGGCCGACGTGCCCGACGTTCTTCTCCCGTGGGTTGTGGCTGCGCGTCTCCACCGCGGTCTCCCCGTGTTGTGTCTCCACTCCGACCGTGGCGGCGAGTTCGCCTCTGGTCGGCTTGGACAGTTCTGTCGTGCGGAGGGCATCACCCAGTCGTACACGTTGCCGGACTCGCCACAGCAGAATGGGGTTGCTGAGCGCCGCATCGGCTTGGTCATGGAGGTCGCCCGTACATCCATGATCCATGCCGATGCCCCCCATTTTCTGTGGCCGTTCGCTGTTCGCTACGCTGCTCACCAGCATAACCTGTGGCCACGATCCCAGCGGCCGCAGGTTTCGCCGACCCTCCTTTGGACCGGGTCCCCCGGTGACGCGTCTGCGTTCCACGTCTGGGGCTGCCTTGCTCACGTTCGTGCCTCTGGCACGGACAAGCTCACTGCCCGCACTGTCCCCTGTGTCTTCCTCGGTTTCCCCCTGGACTCGTCTGACTGGCTCTTCTATCACCCGCCGTCTCACCGCTTCCTGCACTCTCGTGACGTCACCTTTGACGAGTCCGTCTCCTTCTACCGCCGCTTCCCTCACCGAGGTCTCCCAGTTGCCCCCCCCCTGTTCCTTGCTCCCTCTCCCCCAGTAGCCCCTGCCCCTCTCCCGCCTCGTCCTGCCCCGTCTGGTGTCTCTCACGTCACTCCCCTCCCGTCGGTTGTCCCCGTAGAGGAGTCTGCTGACTCTGGTGGTACCCCCGGTCCGTCCTTGCCGCGTCCCCCTTCCCCAGTGCCTCCGCCCCCACTGTCGCAGTCGCCGACCCCGCTGCCGCCGCCGTCGCCGTCGCTGCCGCAGCCGTCGCCGCTGTCGCGGCCGCCGCAGCCGTCGCAGCCACTGCCGCCGCCGCTCTTGGCCCCTGGGGGTGCTGGTGTGGAGGAGGGTGTTCGTCGTGCGGCTTCTGGGGGTGCCGCTGGTGTTGGAGGGGTTTCTCGCTCTGGGGGTGTTGGTTCTGGGGGTGCTGCTGTTGAGTGTTCTGCCGACGGTCGTTCTGCCTCTGCTGGTCCGAGAGTTCCGGCCCAGCCGTCGTCGCCGCCGCAGCAGCCGTCGCCGCCGGTCTCCGCTCTCCGCCTGCTCGGCCTTCCCTCCCCGGACCGCGCGCCGGTTTCTCCCCCACCGCCTGCTGACCTTCCTGTCTACGGTCCTGTGTTCCCGCCGCCGGACTCGTCTCCGGCCCGTCTTCCTCCTCGTTCCCCTCCTGTGTCTCCTCCGCTGTTCCCTGACCCTACACCTCCGTCTCACGTTTGGGCTCGCCGTCCCTCCCGTGCTCGTCCCGTCTCTCCTGTCCTGCCCTCCCACCCTA